TAGACTGCCCCCCAATCTCTCACTTACCTGATCTGTAGGCTGCTCCCCCATCTCTCACTTACCTGATCTGTAGGCAGCGACCCTCAACTACTGAGGTATTCGCCCCTCAGGCCAAATCATAGTTACTGCCTCGCATCTCTGCCCTCTTGGCAAAAGCAGTTAGGGCCTCACCTGTCACGGCCAACTTATTTTGAATCTCTTTAATCCTCACCGAGAGGCCAACACCCCGCCACAACGCTCGGGGGCAAACATACCCAATGGGACAAATTCTAGGTAGAGCCTCTTATCGCCACTTGGCAACTAGTTAGGTTATGCTGTTATAGAGTATTTCCCACTAACTAATTTTCTCCTTCAGGTATAGTTATAAATGCTGATAAATTATAAAGTATTGATTGTGTAATGTAGACACATATTAAAGTGTTAAACTTTTAACTTTTTGCCCTCTTTTTACAGGCCAACCCGAATTGGCACCCCACAACCAACTTGTGTACCACTAACATAACTCTGCTTATTGTCCCCGACCACAAATGGAAAGGCTGAGCCTTTGGGTGTGTCACGGGTGGCGGTATGGAAACCGGGACCCCTGAGTGCCTGATGAGAAGTGGGAGTCTTCAGTGTGGAAGTGGATTATCAGGGCCTGGTGCAGGGTAACCACACGCCCTCTGGTGTTGAGCACCAGCGTTTGTGCGGCCACATACCAGAACCCTGATGCAGCTACAGCGGATCCCAGGAACTAGGAGCATGGAAATTAAGCAGACCTCCCAGGAGCTGAATAGGGAGGCTCTGCAGCAAGAATGTATCCAATACAGAAACAAGGCAAAACTAGAAACTAGAAACAGAAACAAGGCAAAACAAGACTAAACTAGGAGAACCCAGAACCAGAGCAAGACAGAAAGCAGAACCTAGAACATGTCTTGTGTACATGAGGAAAACAAGAACAGGGCAGGACAGAACTGTACATGAACTGGGAATACAAGACAAAATAAAACAAGACAAGATATAATAGGCAAAACAAGAGGAGACATAACTAAGCACTATATATGAAAACTATGGGGATTTAGTTACATTATATGATCATACATTGCATAAGCCTGCCACAACGCCAATGTACCTCATATTCGGCAGGTCCTACACTGCCTAATGTTTGCTAAAAGAACCATACTAAACCACAATAGCACTTACCTGCAAGAAGAGGCAGAGACTTGAAACACTGCTGCAGGTCCAGACTGAAACAAAAGGAAAATAAACAGGTGTGGCAACATAAAACAAACATATAAATGAATCCAGGAGACTGGGAATTCGAGGGACGGATTACAGGAATGAACCCAGAAACCCAGCATAAAGAAAACCAGACACAGAATAGAAAACCGAGAAAAACTAAACAAGAATTGTAAAAACAGTACTGGGTATCAGAAGCCATCACCAGACTGATCCGCAGAACAAGGCATGATGTGACAGGGTGGAGCCTGTAGTTGTGGGAGGAGGATATTGCTATAAATACATAGGTCGCCCCTTCCTCTGGGCTGAGACTGTCTGGTTCATCCAATACCACTCCCTTTATCAAGCCATTTAAATTAGTTGGCCCTCTTTTTACAGATCTACCCGAATGTCTGTTTCGGCACACCACAACTGACTTGTGCACCACTAACATAACTCTGCTTATTGTCTCCGACCTCAAATTTTATATATATATATATATATTTATATATGTATATATCTATCTATATATCATATATATATATATATATATATATATATATATATATATATATATCACTCCCACCAAATCCCACTTCAGGCCTTCATGTCCATTACATACCTGCAGCAATGGACTGATACAAGTCATGCCCCTTTTGCTTCAGAACATCCTTTCGTTTGTATTGATTTCAACCAACCCTACCCGGTCCAGACTGGCTATAAGGCAAACCGGGTAATTGCACAGTAGGCCAAGATGGCCATGTGTCGAGGCCATCTGGGCAGATCTGAGTATCTCTGTAGGAAGAAAGGGCTCCATGGTAGGTGGTGAGATCAAGATCTCTCTGTAGCCAGCAGTGGCACTAAATGCCAGGTGGAGCCCCCTCACCTGCAGAGATACTCAGATCTGCCTTGCTCTTGCTTCTGTATCAGTGCATTGCTGCATGTTACCAGGGCAACACTGTGATACTTTCCCTGATGCCAACTGGAAAAAACTGTCTGTACCTATTGGTAGTGCAGACAAGGTTCCTTTCCCACTTAACCACCAGGGTGGCTTACCTGCGGTCCACTCCTTGGCAGGCTCTAAACGCTTGGTAGCACACAACTACCTTTTGTGATATTTCTGATCCAAAACCACAGTACAACCAACTCTGGGTGAAACCAACCATCAGTGTGGCCACACAAAGCAAGGTATGAGGAACTGGCTAAAAAGATCCAGATATAGCAAAAAAAATCAGACAAAAATAGTACTCACAAATGCAGCAAAGCCTCTCACTGCTGCTCAAACAGTGACAATCCACAGTACAAATCAAACAAATAGAGGCTGCACAAAATGTTGCTATGTGCACAAGCAAAGTGCTACTAAAATTTATTGGAGGACAGAATAATAAAACAGACGTTTCGGGTTCAACCCTTTTTCAAATCACCATGTCCTTCCCTCCGAGGGACATGGTGCATCGAAAAAGGGTTGTACCCGAAACGTCTGTTTATTATTCTGTCCTCCAATAAATTTTGGTAGCACTTTGTTTGTGCACATGAAAACAACCCTGTGCCCAACTTTTTTGGTATTCTTTATCAATGTGACAGACCCATCCATAAGGATTAAGATTGCTGGATTTGTCTATTTGCTTGTTTCACGAACTCCCCCATTCGTATGCCTGGATTTAAGTGAATTGACTTTTTTTACCGAACAAAACTGTCGAACGGACGGCCACCCAAAAGAGAAGTGTGCTGCTGGTTAACCTATCGATCCCAATTAGAACATTGCGGTTAACCACAGACACTTCTCAATTAACACCAAATACAGGGTGGTCGTCGTTCATATGTCGACCACGAGGCGGCGGCCATTTTAAACCATGCGAAAGACCAGCGGTGTTCGGTAATAAATTCATGGAACTGAAAACGAACACTTTTTCAACCGAACACCGCTGATGCCGTCGACCTCCCTTCTCCAATCGACAGAAATGTGCGAACACTGGCCGTTCAGGAGATTTAAAGGCACGAATGGACTTACCCCAGATAGCCTTCCCATGGAGTCAATCGCATACCGAAGAACTGTAATAGACTTTGACTCCATGGCGATTGAACTATGCGTATGGGATCTGAGTGCTATTCACCAATAATATGCACTCAGATCCAGGCTATCTCGGGATGTGTTACACGAATGAGAAATGTTCGGCAGTTATAAAGTTATGTATTTTTATGTGTTTTATGATTTGTATTTAAAATGGCAATTTGCCTCTGCTCTGGGAGATAATTGAATTACTTCTCAATTATCTCCCGGGCAGAGGGGAGGAAACTGTGATGTATGCTGGGAATATTTTGTGACTGTATGTCCTGAAATGCCATATGTCCATCTGCTATTCCAGTCTCCCATTTGGTCCCCTAGGGGAGTGTCCACCAAGTGGGAGACCTGCATAAATACGGGCGGGTATCCCCCAGTAAACTCAGTTCGTGTTTTACCCTCAATGCGGAGCTTGGTCTCGTTATTGGGGGGGGGATTTTATTACCGGCGACTAGAGCCTGCTATATGGGATTATTAGCCGTTTGGGAGATACCGGCGTTTGGTTGCTATTGACGGTTCGTGAGCTTGAGCAAGCTCGTGGAGGGAAGTGACCGTACAGATACCGTTCGGGAATTTGGAGTGTTCCCTAGCTGGCGGTTCGCATGATTGTATTGGATACGCATACAGCCTACATTATTGCGAACGGGGAGCATTCGCTAAACGGCGGTTTGTACATTTCATGCTGAAGGTACCGTAACAACTGGTGGTAGCAGTGGGATGACCCTCAGCGCCCAGAGAGACCACTACAACCAGGATTAAATGGATGTACAATATCAAAGACTGAAAAGAGCTACCCTAAAAGATTTATTAGAACAAAGAGGCGGACAAGCCAGTAACCTCAGGAAGAGGGAAATTATTGCACTATTGTTGGAAATGGATGGAGTACCAGAGGCAGAGGGAACCAATGGGCCCAGCGCAGCTGACAGAACCCTCGAGGAGGCAAGCTTTGACCGGGCGGTAAGAATCAGGCTGGTCCATTATGGTCCCAACCCGACTATAGAGACGATTGACTGGGTCATGGCCGCTGTGGAGGCCAACCTGCTACGCCAAAGCGGTGCTGCAGCAGCCCCAGTCACAGCAAACCCGGGGGAAAGAAAGTGCCATTTACAGCATTTAAACCTTTTGTGGAGGCAGAAGGAGAGATTGATGATTTTGAGCTGCTATGTGCCCTGCACAAGGTACCCCTGGAAGACTGGGTCACTATATTGTCCGGCAAGTTATCCGGCCAGGCCAGTGATGCGTTTCGGGCCATTCCTGATGAGGAGATCAGGGATTATGGGGCCGTCAAGGAAGATTTACTCTCCAGGTATGCCGTTACACCGGAGGCATACTGGAGGCGATTCAGAGACAGAGTAAAATTATCTGGGGACTCTTATGTTGAATGGGCATGCAAAGTACACCGCACAGCTGCCCACTGGATGGCGGGGTGCCAGGCTGTGTCCGGAGAAGAGGTGCTGCAAATGTTCCTGTTGGAGCACTGCTTTGACAAATTATCCCCAGGCGTCAGAGAGTGGGTAAGAGATCGTAAGCCCTCCACTCTGCATGAAGCCGCTCGCTGGCGGACGAATACACGGATGCCCGTAAACTGGACAGTGCTATTGGAAAGGCTCCTGCCAGAGTGGAGTACCGGCCAGCAGCACCACCAGCAGCTAACATCTACCAGCCCCCGATGAACCAGCCGTCAGCACCCCCTCCGTCTAATCATTATCAGCAGCCACCCCGGTTCAACTCAAGGGGCTATTCTCAACCCATTAGATGCTTTTTATGCAAGCAGCTAGGGCACAAGCGACCGGAGTGCCCGATGAACAGTGCCAACCAGACCCAGTCCTGGAGGAAACCAGCTGGCGGCTGCTCACTGTGTAGAGCAGGGGTGTCAAACTCAAATTCATCGGGGGCTGCATCAGCAGTTTGGTCACCCTCAAATGGCCGGTTGTATCTGCAGGACTATGTGTCCACTCTTTATTATCATTAATTATTGTCACTGCAGAATAAGCAGAATAATAAGTATCCAGGCAGTACGTGTGTATGGGGGGCAGTGTGTGTATGGGGGGTAGTATGTGTGTATGGAGGGCAGTATGGGGCAGTGTGTGTATGGGGGGGGGGCAGTGTGTGTGGGGCAGTGGGGGGCAGTGTGCAGTATGGGGCAGTGTGTGTGTATGGGGGCAGTGTGTGTATGGGGGGCAGCAGTGTATGGGTGTATGGGGGGCAGTATGGGTGTATGGGAATGGGTGTATGGGAGGCAGTATGGGTGTATGGGAGGCAGTATGGGTGTATGGGAGGCAGTATGGGTGTATGGGAGGCAGTATGGGTGTATGGGAGGCAGTATGGGTGTATGGGGGCAGTGTGGGTGTATGGGGGGCAGTGTGGGTGTGTAGAGTGTGTGTGTGTGTGTGTGTGTGTGATATAAGGGTAGGGGGGCTTTTATATATTATATATATATATATAATTTTAATTATAATATATATGTCCCCCCTCCCTTCTAACCTTTACTGGGGGGAGGGGGTACATTTCCCTGGTGGTCCAGTGGGGAATTCATTGGTGGTCCCAGTGGGGAGAGTGAACTCTAGCCCACGCTCCAGGGCTAGAGTTCACTCTCGCGAGATTTGGAGCGTTGCCGTGGTAACCGTGGCAACGTTCCAACTCCCGCGAGAGGAGGACCCGGAGGAGCTGCAGCCTGAGCTCCGGGTCCTCTATCCCTCCCTCCCCCGCCGGCTGTCAGCACTGTGCCTGCGGACCGGGGAGGGAGATCTGTGATCTCCCCTCCGGTCCTCAGGCACATTGCTGGGCTGGCAGGAGAGGATCCGCCACTGGGCTGGCGGCCGGCGGCGGCTACACGGGCCACATGACGAGGTCTGGCGGGCCGGATTCGGCCCGCGGGCCTTGTGTTTGACACCCGTGGTGTAGAGGAAGAGGAATGCTGGGGCATCCTGC